TGGACCCTAGGAAAATTGAATTGAATATTTAGCATATCTGACCGCTGATGACCTTGTGAGCTGTTATCAGTAATTCTGATAGTATTTTACCCAAGCAAAATATGGATGAAATGTTATTATCTAAAACAGCATTGTTCACTAGAAGAAGTCTTTTGAAGATATACATTGTTTATCAGTGTCATTTATTAATAAACAAACGTGATCGTCCTTTAACACAGCAGGAAAAATACCGTCCTATTTCTGTGAAAGAAGCCGTTTCAAACGTTTAACAATTAATATCATGTCAACATGGAAGTGGGTCAAGCAAATATATGTGAACACAAAGGATAGCCAATAAACAAAGCCAGCTTCACACTAATTATCACACCATATATTTGTCTGTAATAAAGTTAAGAAAGCCCAACAATGGACAGAGGGAGACTGAATACCGGGCAATGGCATATAATCGCCAGTAGAGCTTAATCAAAACACACTATATTTTTGCTTTGTCTTATGTACATAAAGAAAGTGGTGATGCTGATTATTCATATAGAATACTTAATATGGGGATAATTCCTGAACAAAATGCTGACATCTCTTTCATGGCTAGATTTTCTTTCCAAAGGACTTCGCATCAATCAAAATGTAACAGCTCTGATGAACACCGACAATACATTTGACCCCTTTACAAATAGATAAAAAATTCACTGTTGAGACGAAAAAAACACCGCCATATGTCAGATGAAAGACATAAATATTTACTTCGCAATCCATAACTATACGTAGACAGCATACTCAGATCTTTTATCTGTATATATGCTCCAAATATTGTTAAGTTACCGTAAATGACATTAACAGAACCCTTCTTATAAAATGTTAATAAACAATTTCCTATGCTTCATGAATGTTATTATAAACATAGTCATTGATATCCAACGTTACAGTTACGACGTCATAATAAATATGTCGTCAACACGTGGGCAATGGCATTCAAAGCAAATATGAATATCATTCGAACTTGCTAGGTTTATGTAATACATGTAGCAGTGCTATGGACTTGCTAATATTATTGATAACAAGACATCTGGATTGATGAAATGTCACTACGATATGAATGGCGTGTGTCTCCTCTGTACAAAAATACTTAAAACAAATGTTCTATGACAATAAAGCACATTTATCCCTGTTCAAGATAAACTAGGGTCTTTATGAGCTAAAAATGCTCGTACGAACAACAATGTGAAAAATCATAAACTATTCTTTTCTTTTTTCTCTTGTTACACTTATAAGAAATAATAAATGATAATGTTCAAATTGTATATAATAAGGAAAGCCTCAAAGATGAAATATAGTATATCTTATTGTCCGGAAAACACTGTTCATACGTTACATATTTTCTGGGGAAAGAAATCTGAAATGTTATCACTAAATTTCTCCATGCAACAACTCTCTGTCATCAAAATTATTTTAGATTGCCTTTTAAATGATTAAAAACATTTGTTTTGGCTAGTGGCTATATCTCAAACGGTCCGTATTTCCTAGATTGATGATAATTTTCTCGGTCGGAATTTTCCTTAACAATGCATATACAACGAAACAATAATTATGTAATTTGTGGCAATCAGTGTATGTTGTGTGCACTATACTATTTGCAAGTTGATATGTTGTCATCATGATCTAAATGAATCGCAGTCTGCAGAAATTAAGAGATACGCCTGTTACAGAATTCCAAAGAATGGCTTAGCATTATATATAAATAACTTGTTTGTAACGATCTAATTTTACAGGTTGTGTATCCCTATTTAGGTAAAGGGAAGGGTTTTTAGCTCACCTGCCCGAAGGGCAAGTGAGCTTATGTTATGGTGCGGGGTCCGTCGTCCGTCCGTCCGTCCGTCGTCCGTCTGTCCGGCGTCAACTTTTTTCTTTAAACAACTTCTTCTCAATAACCAAAAGGCCTAGGAAGATGATATTTGGCCAGTATCATGCTGGGATCAAGGGCTAAATGATCTTGAGCCACTTTCAAGGTCACAGGGGTCAAATATGTTAAAATCTTCAAACAACTTCTTCTAAATAACCAAAAGGCCCAGGGTACTGATATTGGGCCTGTAGCATGCTAGGATGAATGGCTACCAAGTTTGTTCAAATGAATGACCTTGACCCCCTTTCAAGGTCACTGGTGTCAGATGTCTTAAAAATCTTCAAACAACTTCTTCTCAATAACCAAAAGGCCCAGGAAAATGATATTTGGCCAGTAGCATGCTGGGATGAAGGGCTACCAAGCTTGTTCAAATAAATGACCTTGACCAATTTTCAAGGTCACAGGGGTTGAAATATGTTAAAATCTTCAAACAACTTCTTCTAAATAACCAAAAGGCCCAGGGTACTGATATAAGGCCTGTAGCATACTGGGATGAAGGGCTACCAAGTTTGAAAAATGAATGACCTTGACCCACTTTTCAAGGTCACAGGGGTCGAATGTCTTAAAATATTTATACAACTTCTTCTCAATAACCAAAAAGCCTAGGGTACTGATATTGGGCATGTAGCATGCTGGGATGAAGGGCTACCAAGCTTGTTCAAATAAATGACCTTGACCAATTTTCAAGGTCACAGGGGTTGAAATATGTTAAAATCTTCAAACAACTTCTTCTCAATAACCAAAAGGCCCAGGGTACTGATATTAGGCCCGTTGCATGCTTGAATGAAGGGCTACCAAGTTTGTTCAAATGAATGACCTAGACCAATTTTCAAGGTCACAGGGGTCAAATATTTTAAAATCTTCAAGCAACTTCTTCTCAATAACAAAAATGCCAAGGGTGTTAGATTAATAACAGGTGAGCGATGCAGGCCCATTGGGCCTCTTGTTTTCAATTCTTATAGCAATTTTAATTTATCAAAAACAAAAAGGAAGGGAGACAAGTCCTGTTGTCGTATGAAGATACATGTAATACACATACTTTTGTGACCATTCATAACCTTTCTTCAGACATTTACGTACACAATATTATATATCGATTGTTTTTGTAATTTGATTTTGAAATGACATTGCCTAAAACATAAAGATAACCATTTTAATTTTCTTGAATTGATATTCATATTTTTATCAAACCATGGGAAAGTTACGTTAGATATATGAAAAATAACCTATCGCAGGGTCTATTGTACTTGTAAAATTACCTATCGCAGGGACTATTGTACTTGTAAAATTACCTATCGCAGGGACTATTGTACTTGTAAGTTTATTATTGCTCTTAATTTAATATGGATACATTGATGAATAATTATATCTATTGATTTATATATATGTATATGAATCAAACAGAACAAAAAGAACACAACAAGACACCGAGAAAAGCACAAAACAATTATATTTTGCGAAATGTTGTGATCAGTTGGCCTCTTCCGGCTTAACCAATCAGTTTACATTAAGATGCACTGGAATATGTTCACAGAACATATTGTGTGAGTTTGAATAATTGATGCGTGTATGGAGTGGTGTGGCTCTGCAACTGGTGTTTGAATTGTATGGAGTTGTGTAATTCCAAAACGGGTGTTTGGATTGTAAGGAGTGATGTAGCTCAACTACAGGTCTTTGAATTGTATGAAAAGGTGGGGCTCAACAACTGTTGTTTGAATTGTATTGAGTGATAAGACTCCATTACTGGTGTTTGGAATGTACGGGGTGATGAGACCCAACAACTGACGTTTGAATTGTGTTGATAGGTGGGGTTCAACAACTGGTGTTTCTTTTGTATAGATAGGTGGGACTCAACAACTTGCGGTTTAATTTTATGGAGTGATGAGGCTCCACAACTGGCGTTTGAATTGTTTGGATAGGTGGGGCTCCAAAACTGGCGTTTGAATTAAACGGGTGATGAGGCTCCACAACGGGCATTTGAATTATATGTATTGGTGGGATTTACAGCTGGCGTTTGAGTTGTATGGAAAGTTGGGGCTCAACAACCGACGTTTGAATTGTATGATATGGGGGCTCAACAACTGGTGTTTGAATTGTATGAAGTTATGAGACTCCACAACGTGTGTTTCAGTTGTATGGATAGGTGGGACTCAGCAACTGGCGTTTGAATTGTATAGAGTGATGAGACTCACCAACTGGCGTTTGAATCGTTTGGGGTGATGAGGCTCCACAACTGGCGTTTGAATTGTTTGGATAGGTGGGGCTCCACAGCTGGTGTTTAAATTGTATGGAGTGATGAGACTCCACAACTGGCGTTTGAATTGTATGTATAGGAGGGACTTAACAACTGGCGTTTGAATTGTATGCGGTTATGAGACTCCACAACTGGCGTTTAAAATGTATGTATAGGAGGGACTTAACAACTGGCGTTTGAATTGTATGAGGTTATGAGACTCCACAACTGTCGTTTGAATTGTATGTAAAGGAGGGGCTTAACAACTGGCGTTTGAATTGTATGAGGTTATGAGACTCCACAACTGGCGTTTGAAATGTATGAGGCTATGAGACGCCACAACTGGCGTTTGAAATGTATGAGGTTATGAGACTCCACAACTGGCGTTTGAATTGTATGAGGCTATGAGACTCATTAACTGGCGTTTGAAATGTATGGAACTGGGGAGGTTTGCATTGTATGAATAGGTGAGACTCTACAAGGAAATCCTCATTTTATGCACCATACATTTCAAGAACGTATATGTATCTAGGATTTGTTTTTTATTGAGAAACATTATTATGCTGATTGAGTGACAACAACACTTTGTATTTAAAGCAAAACGTTGCATGCAGAATACAAAACCACATGAGGAAACAAGGAGATTTTAACACATTTCTGCTACCAAGGATGCGTATCCGTAAAATTCAGTTTTCTCTGACAACAGCTACATTGTAACTAATTGTGACTCAAATTGAATACCTGATAATTGATAATGTCGATATTATTTAATAAACAGAATGAAAAGAAAAAGAAATTTCGATTTTATTTTAAGTATTATTTATAGTATTGACATACATAATTTTGATATAACAAAACTACGGTACAATGTTGAATCAAAATGAACTTGATGGAAGATATATTCTAAAATTATTTTATTGTATCAGTTTCAGAGACAGTATTAAAACTGTTTGTGTCTTTTCAGAGTTATTGATAACACCCACGCTTACTTCCACTAAACAGGATTAAACCAGTATTATTTTCCTTTTTTGATCATATCAATCCATCATTGAAACAATATGTCCCAAATGAACCTAAGTACAAACTGTTTTCAGTTTATAGTAAAACATATTATCATTGTTGCAAGTGCTGACACATTTCTTCGTGAATCAGTTCTGTCTAATGTACAGGTTCTTTGTTTAATTGGTGCAGGTTTTCCAAAATTATTTAACTTGCTTGACTGTCACATGTTGAAGAATGAAAACACATATGGAAAAAATTGGATCAGATGGCGGCGTGAAGATCCATCTACAGTGAGAAAAAAAAACACCACCATATTACTTAGATCTTTTTGAGAGAAAAAAAGGATATGTTATTTCATACGATTCGTCATTCTACATTCAAAGGATCTGCATACCAAAACTTTTAATAATAAAGAAGAAATAAATATGTGTTTGATATCAATAACGTATCTCTGATATTGTAATGAGGCTAATATGCGAGGCAGTGCTATTTAAGCCGTGGAGGATGACCGTAGTTGACTGTAGTAGACCGTAGGTGACCTTAGTGAAACACATTAAACGTTGTTAGATGTAGTTCAACGTAGTTATAAACTAATTATTACTTCACTCTACATGACCCTACTTCACCCTAGTTGACCCAAATTAACCGTACTTAACAATACTGTGAATGTATCTCAAACGTACTTTAAACGTAGTCTAACCCCAGTGTTGTCCCTATTTGACACTACTTCACACTACGGTCAACTACGGTAAACACCGCGGTTTAATAGGGTCAATTACAGCAACTAGGGTCAAATATGTTAAAACTACGGTCAAATATAGGGTCTTGGCATCCAAACTCACTTAAGAAATATTTTGAATATGTTGAAAATCATTGGTTTCCTGAAGTTCAAACTGCGTTTACAACTACGTTAAACTACGTCAAACTGCGTTTTTTGAAATACATTTAACTAAGGCCTAGGTCACCCACAGTCTACTACAGTCATCTAAGGCCATCCCCCACTACCGTCAACAGCGTGCTTGACCGTAAGAATTGACCGCGGTTTTCGGATAGGCAAATCTTTCCAAAACAAGTTACAAATCACTCCATACCTTAGAAATCGTCAATTAGCACCATTTTTAACTTTTCCTCATACTTTATTTTAAAACAAATATAGCACGTAGTGCAAGAAACACCCAGTGTGTAATTGTTAGGTTCGATATATGAACCGAAATAAAGTTAAAAATAATTAAAAAAAATCACCTGCCAGCTAATTAATTAGTACCGGTTTCGCACTCCAAAGATTCGCACTTGACAATACCTATGATGAATGGACATCAGTTCCCCTTCAGAGAATCTGCCTTCTAAAAAGGAAAGCAAAGAGACGGTAGTTAGAACTGTTATAATATATGATATATACATATTCGTCACTCCATATTCTAGTATATCATTAACATCATTATTTCTATTTGAAGTTTATTTATTGAACTGTCGGATTAGGTTTCAAATGATTTATTGATATATCATGCAACTTTTGTCGACTTTCCTGGATATAAAGAGGATATTCAAAAAGGAAAGTACTTTCTTTTTCATGACCACAGGAACAGTCTGATGGGGTCTAAAGGGGTCATCAAGCAAATTAAATTAAGTTAGTTAGCACAATTTCTCAATTGGCACAATAAGATATTACGTTTTCTATTACCACCATATCCGAATATTGTTGTACATAAATTGTCATGCCAGTGTTGTAGAGTTGTCCTTCGCAATATTTTTTTTATATCATTTTTTTTTTATATATATATTTTTAAAGTTACATCAGGTCTGTTCCGCGAAGTCATCATTTGAGGGAAAAGGCTTTTTGCATGCCGTTTTGTTTTGGGTCGGGGTGTATTGGATTTTTCAAGATGTCTTTGGTTATGAATATTTTCATCAGGGTCCAAGATGTGATTATGTAAGTTTTTTCTAAGAAACATGCATGTTTATGTCTATTCTGTGGGTTTTCAACTCAAATTCTTTATTTAATATTCTTTGACTAATTCCTTTTCTAATTAGCTGGAACGATCCCAGAAGCTGTTTCTATAGCTTAGAGTAATGATCCCATTTATTAATTAATAATACTCCAATATACATGTAGGACTAATAAATGCAATATATAATGTTTCAAGTGAATTTATATTGATTTGATATTTTAGCAATCGTAATCAGTTAACTTTTTTACATTCTGTTTTATATCTTTAATTGAAAAGATGAGTCCAGTTACCCAGTTCATTAATATAAACTCCCAAGTGTTCATGATTTGTAACCCCATCTGCACTATTGATACAAAGGAGGAATAAATAAGGTCCTAGAAGTCTACAAAATTAGGTTCTCAATTCGCACAAGTCATTAGAACTTCTGTTTAATACTGTTTTTGATGCAGTGTCTATGCATCATGATATTTACTCTTAAGCAATTTGCCTTAATTTTTATATCTGTTGGTCCAAAATAAACAAAAATATAGTTAGTTTATCCTTAGTCATTTTAGTGCAAGCTATCCGTTAGTAAAGAAAACAAATGAGGAGTCACACATTGTTCAATGTAAATACACTTTAAGATTAAATATTTACGAAGTTTTATTTTTATCTCTATATATTATTATAATCATGCGTCTGGCTATTTAGAAAATGCGTTACCAATAGTTTTTAGTGATATTTCCAATAGACACTTACAATTAAGTACTTAATTAATTACTCCATCCAAGAACCCAATCAAGAAAAATAATTTTCTTTTATCTATTCTTACTACATATTTCAGCTTATAACAAAAATATTGTTAGATGAATGAAGGCCAAATAACAAATTAATACTGTTGTCTTTTAGAACAACTTTTTTTTCTAACATTCCTATATGCATCACCTTCTTTCTTCAAGGAAAAATAAATGCATTACTTAATACTCAGAAAACGTTACAAAAATTTTATCACTTTATCGGTGTTACCTAGGTAGTGTCATCACTGTTTGCAGTGTTACCAGGGGAGTGTCATCACTTAATGCAGTGTCACCAGGGTAGTGTCATCACTTAATTGCAGTGTTACCTGGGTAGTGTCATCACTGTTTGCAGTGTTACCAGGGGAGTGTCATCACTTAATGCAGTGTCACCAGGGTAGTGTCATCACTTAATTGCAGTGTTACCTGGGTAGTGTCATCACTGTTTGCAGTGTTACCAGGGTAGTGTCATCACTTAATGCAGTGTTACCAGGGTAGTGTCATCACTTAATGCAGTGTCACCAGGGTAGTGTCATCACTTAATTGCAGTGTTACCTGGGTAGTGTCATCACTGTTTGCAGTGTTACCAGGGTAGTGTCATCAATTTTGCCAAACATTCCATGTGTTATTGATTATGGCACGGTGCATTAGATTCACCATTACAACTTATTATAAACGTGAAAAGGGAGAAAAAAACAATCACACATGTGTATGCAGACAGAGAATTATCAAGTCTTGAAATAAGATACGTTTAGTTTAGAATTAGGCAAAAGCCTCGAACTTAACGTCAAAATTGTGTTATTTTGTTGAATAAATGTGCGGTTGTAATTTAGTCAATATTCCTTTATAACCAAACGAATTTGTTGGCAAACTTAATTTTCATAGTAGTGATATAATCAATATTTACCTTGTTTATAGTGTAAAATATATCTCATGGATCATATGGAATAAGACAATGACTAAGTACATAATTATGGAGTTACGATTGGTTGATATAATCATAACAACTTATTGCGGATGTTAAAGTAGGTTAACATCCATTGCAAGGACTTGTTTGTTTAAAGTAATATATAGTCTAAACATAATGGGCGCCATTAAAACAAAAGAATAACAACGGCATTGAGCATACCTCTATATGCGTGCATTTTACCACATAAAATGCACTCGAAGGTCATCCCATCGTTGTCCACGAAGTACCATCTGGCCAAGTCCAGTACCCAGAATCTGGACGATACATGTCGGAATGTAGCTACACGAGACAATTCTGACACCAAATGTTCAACTGTAATCGCAATCAATATATAGGGGACTGCCATCTGGAAAAAGGAAATGTGACCATGTTTACCCTTAGTTTTTGAAATACATTGTGTCAGTACATTTAGTGAGGATTTACAAAGCTGAAACGCTTTTGACGTGTGTTTTTTTCGAATATTTCAAAGTAAAATAAGACATATATTACCGCATACATATTTCACGACACGTTGACAGCAATGTTTCTTTTCACCTTTTTATTTTCATTTTATGCTTATAGAATAAAGTTGGAAGATATGCATCCCTTTTATTCGATTCCTGAAATTTCGACAGCGTCCTTACCCCCGAATAATCACTAAGATATGAAGTAGGGAAACACAAAATTGAAAAATAAGAAGTCAATGCAGAAATATTAACAAATGAAACCTTTTTATCATTTTTACACATTGCGAGCCTTTTCGTCAATGTCAGACTCCTCAGTGGTACTGAATGTCAAAAGAATGAAAGCCCTTATCTTAAATTTTCCGAAACAGACGTAGAAATAAAAGAGGAATCGGGAAAGTTCCACATAAATCCTTATGTCTCAAATTTGCAACCTGTTTGCTAAAACAGAGAATGACACTTAAACTAGTACATTAATGTAACCGTTCCGCGATTAATTTCCGCTAGAAGGTTTTGAGCTTTGAGCTACAAGCTTTGATATCCTAATATTAATCATCTTGTGTCGTAATATGTTTTAGTCACAATGAACTGTTATTACCTATCTGTTTTAAATGGAGATTAGGGCTTCAGTATTGGGTAGTAGATTTCTTAGTCCCTGAGGTTTGTCGCAACCTTGATGACCGAAATAATATCCCAGATTAGTGGCATCTGCACTTCTGTTTAACCAGTTGTTTAGATCAAATCGTAATTGAGAAATAGACGCATGGTGCAGCATTTGTTTAGGTTTTTTTATAATTTATTTACTATGAGACATTGATAAACACTTTGTGTGACATCCTTCTTACACAAGTGAAAAAGATCAGCACCTAACTTTCAAAATACACAATATATAGGTTTTTGTACAGGGATACTCACATTGTTTACCGATAAAACAATGGCACTAAACTGATAAACATACGCAATATGATATATATATATATCATTTTAGATTAATGAGATGTTGATAATGATTGAAAAATAATTGTGATAATACTACTACACAGAAAGGTTAAAATATAAGTATTTTTTTAGCATCAGGCATTTACTTAAAACCCATACTTCTTACATTTTAAGATGGTTTGATAAAAAATATCTTTGAAGTTCAATAAGGGGGATTTTTCCATAAATCAAATTTAAAGACATTAGTATGTTTTCCAAAGATTACTTGTTTGATTCTTTTAAAGATTTCAATCGGATTATATTGTTGTGCTTATGTTCCCTATTTAGAATTATTTAGGATCAAATATTTTGTTTCGTATTAACCCAATGTTTTTTAGATCTCCAATCGCTTATTTCCCAACTACCAGTATATTCTTCAGGTGGTCAAGTAAAGTTTTCAATCTGCAATAGCATTGAAAATACCGGGAGTGGGATACGGAAACGTCAATGTCTTTTGACGAGGTGCTTCATATCCACAATTAGATCTGGTTGTATTCATTTTGAAGGATTCATTAGTTATATAAGTGCACAGGAAAAGTGAGAATGAAAGCACCTGTCGTATATGAACATTTGATTGTTTTTCATTTTCTTTTGAAAATAAAGATATAACGGCCAAATGATATTTTACTTCGGACAACAGGCTAAACTATGCAAACGTTGGATCAAATCCTCGCACAACAAATAAGTGATTATTTATTGATATATATCTCTGTTTGTCATTCATTTTCTGCACTATTATCATTTTTATTTTCATTTCATTTTTTTTTATTGTTTAGAAAACAAATAGATTGCACAACAGGAAAGCCTATATAAATCCTCTCCAATTGGTACCACATATATACACCAAAGTGAAAGTAAATACTAGATAGCATAGACTGTAATGTATATATATAAAGAGAATTATATTTTAACATGAAAGCATTGATGGTAGTAATACACAAACATTCAGAGATTAGAATGATTACTTCGGGTAATGAATAATAATTTAATATGTAAACATCTACTCAAGCTTATACATACTTGCATACCCATCTACATTATTACAAGGTTACTACATATATATGTCATAGTGATATATATAACATCCAGACTGTACAATAATAGAGGTCTTCAGTAGATTTCAATCATTCAATTATTATATTATAATCTCTTAAATCGTTCAGTACCATTAATATAGTATTGGACATTAGTTAAAATCAGTTCATTAATATCCTCCGACAGGGTATCATCACCTGAAGTTAACAGAGTTGAATTGTAATAACCAATACGGTAATGAATTTCATGAATTAAATTCCTAGAATAAGAGTAATTAGGACAAGTAGAAAAAAATATCAGTATTTTCAGCAGGTGAACCACAGACACTAACTGGATCTGGGATAAAATGATCTATAAATTTATTATGATTCAAGTCTCTTGCATAATTTCTTAATTGGCACAAAATAATATTTAATTTTCGTGGGCTACAATTTTTAAAAGTATCAGAAATAGCTTCAATAGGATTAGATATTTTTTTAAGATTCCTTTTGAAGGAACTTTGGCTAACTGACCCGGTCAGCGAAGGATCAAGACTATTCCATGCCTGCATGGTACTAGGAAAGAAGCCTGTATTATAAATATTAGTTCTTGACCTTGGGATATTGAAAAATCGGTGGTGACGCAGGTAATGAATATTTTGCTGATGATTAATGAATGGTTCAATGATATCAAACAAATAATCAGGGGTTAAATGAATTATAATTGTATACATTAAAATTAATTTGTGCTTATGACGCCTAGATTCTAACTTTTCCATGCCAGTTTCTTGATATAGTTTATAATATGAAGTACCACTTCTTAAACCAGTAATAATCTTCATTGCATCAATCTGTACAGATTCTAATTAATTTGATTCACCAATAGTGCAATTGTCCCAAATGGAATCTGAATATTCCCAAACTGGTCTAACAAATGAATAGTATAATGTTTATGTTTTAACATCCCTAGCAAATTCAACCGTTTACATTCTTAATGTATATATCATTAATATGGTCCCCCCCCCCCCCCCCCATGTGCCCTTTGAATTAAATATATATAAGTCCTAAGTGTTTATGGAATACATTTTCTTGAATTACGTGATTATCAAAAATCAACAGAGGGTGAACCCAATTTTTCTTACTTTCGGTTAGTGCAACTGTTTTATTAGGATTAAAATTAATTTTCCATTTTTAGCCAAAGTATTAATAGATTCAAGGTCGTCATTTAACTCAGCAATTGCAGTTACAATACCATCATCGACAATAACATAGAGAGAGGTATCATCAGCAAAAAACGTATATATTGGTATTATATCATTAATAATAAGTAAGAATAATAAAGGTCCAAGTACAGAGCCTTGTGGAACACCAGCAGTTACATGCTTAAATGTAGAATTATAACCATCAAAGATAACTCTTTGTTTTCTATCAGTGAGATAACTTTCAAACCATTTATACAAATTACCAGACATGTCATATTTGTTTAACTTATACAAACGACCCTTATGCCAGACCCTGTCAAAAGCTTTACTTACGTCACAAAACACTAATCGTACATCCTTACCTTTATCAATGTTATCCATAATTAAATTTTATACTGATATTAGTTGGTTGAATGAAGAGTCTCTAGGTTGAAATCCAGATTGGTGCTCACTGATAATATGATGTTTGGTTACATAATTAAAGACACACTTAAAAAATATTTTTTCTAATATTTTATCAATAATCAATAGCTCCTTTACCTTTATACAGAGCATTAACATTAGCAGACTTCCAGGCTAGAGGAATAGTACCAGAAGTAATTGTTTTATTAAAGATAATTTTAAGTGGTAGAGTTATAGAAGGTAGATGGTTTTTTATTATTTTAGGAGAAACATTGTCAGGCCAGGGATGTTTATTATCCTTTATAAGCCGGACTTGATCAATTATGTCTTGATCTGATATTACAATTTCAACAAGTTTTATATGACTAAGGGGAGGTAAATCCATATCAGAATTGTTAATATTAATAGTATTATCAACAGAGTTGGAAATGGAAGAAAATACTTATTAATAGCTTCTGCTTTATCCAACGTATGAATCAAAATAACATTACCAACTTTAAGAGGATGAGAAGTTTCTTTTTCATTGGAAAGACCACTTATGGACTAAGCAATACGCCACCACTAGTTGGTACTGTCTTATCTACGGGAGAGTCTCAAGTTTTCTAAATTATGTATCTTTAGCTTTTCTAATAAGGTCAATTACACTATTTCCCAAAGTTCTAAATTTCTGCTAGTAATTTACTTTATTAGTATGTTTTGCTAGTTTCTGTCATTCATTATTTTTCCTTAACTGGGTTCTTGTTTCATTAGTCATCCATGGTTTATCATTTGGCTTTATTCTTATTACTTTACATGGCATATACCTTTCAGTAAGCAAGTTTATTTGATTGATAAGTATACTATTTATCTCATTTACATTTTCATTATGTCCAATTCCAATCAATTGCTAGAAGACATCTATATATTTCATTCCAGTTAGCGTCACTAAATTTAAAAATTTCTTTTATAAATGATTTTACTTTTAATACTTTGAAACATAAATTCATAACAATAGGACAGTGGTCACTACATAGCGGTGATGAAACTCTGCACTATGTTTGGGTTGTTAACATAAAATATGTTAATACCAGTTGCCGATGTATTAGTTTTTCTTGTAGGACATTAAATGATATTGTGTAGCTGATATTTAATTAAAATTCTTGCAATATGTGCTTTAGAAGAAAGAGAAAGCATGTCTTGTTTAATATCACCAGTAATAATAACATAACAGTTTAAATTAGTCAGTGAATCAATTAAGTAATCAAATTTATTCCAGTAAGCAACATTTGAGTTTGGAGGTCTGTAGGTGATCTACCTTCTAAGACAATATTTTCCAAATTAACTGATTCAAGATCAAATATTTTGTAGCATGAATAATAACATATCATTACACTTCCACCTTGCCTTTCCTTCCTATCATTTCTAAAGAAAGTAGGATGTGACTCTAATTTGAGATCAGTATCATTGACAGAATCATCTAGATTAGTTTCAGAAAAACAGAGAATGCAATTTTCAAAAAAAATCACTTTCAAATAGTTCAAGCTTATTACGCAAAGAACTAACATAAAGATGAAGAATCGATATACTGCTTCATTCATATTTATCTTGACAATTGGGACCCGGGTTAACATGTACATTGTACATCACCTTCTCTCAATATAATAGACAATTGAATAAATTTATAAAACAAGTCATTATCAAAAAAAAATACAAGTCTTGTATCTATTGTTGTCGAATTAAGATATTCGAATACTAGCTCTTGTTTTCAGAACATTTTCATATATAGCATAAGCTTATATCGACTATGTGACCGACGTATAGATGGCATAAATTTGAACATTGAGATATAAACTTAACAAATATTGCCAAATATGAACAGACATGTTATAAACTTTCATAAGATAATATAATTTCCATATTTACACCTAGCCCAGCCCAAACCAAAACCCTTTAAAACATTGATTGCACATCCTTTGCTAAGCAGTTTTTCCCATCCAAACATTTCATAACCTCTATTACATCACAATCGAATGGGTGACACGTCGCAAAGAGCGTTGTCCGAGTTAAACCTAATTAAGACAGAATCGGTAGTAATCAGCGTGTATCACTACATATGTTTACCTTTGAAAATCACAATTCTGGAAGAAAAGGAGCTATTTCGCTGTATAATCGGAAGTACATATACGCTACAGTTTCGTATTCTCAATACAATATGATGTATACAAAGTAAAATCAAAGATAAATGTAAACACTTCTTGTGAAAAAAGGAATTTGAGAAAAGAAACATATTATCTGTCATATCCAAAATTGCAAAAAGGTAACGCTTGATAATACGAGAGGAAAGAGTGAGAGAAAAAAAAGCCAGCTTTGTATGAAAGGTGAGTAGGCATATCTTGGTCGGTGTTTCATTTATTTTGGAAACACATATCTAAAAATAGATGCATGAATATATCTTCTATATATTTAATACATTTGTCAAACGATATACATGAAAATGCAATAGTTATATGCAATTTAAGTATCTTCGTCCCGACAATTAAAACCTTAATACATTTTAAAACAAACAAGAGGCCCATGGGCCTTAACGGTTCTGATATATTTATACAGAAGTTTGATTTTGTTTTTAAAACATGAACAGAAATATTATTCAAAGTGACAAAAACAATAAAACCACCTTATTCAATATCTAGCATACAAATTTAAGACTGAAAAGTATTTGAAACAAGCATCTCTGATTCTAAACACGGAAAATGAAGAAATTTTAGCACACTGACTTCTTTGGGCCCCGCCCTACAGCCCTTGGGGTAGGGCTGGCTCACAATTTTCAAGGTATCAAACTGTCAACTCAGGGTTATTATTCCAATCAAGTTATCAACATGTTGTATCCAAAGTATCATTTGCAAATATAAACCATAATAAATATTGCCCCCCTCCCCTAAGGATAAACGTGAGACCATAGGGTCATAAAATTCACAATTTTGGTAGAGCACCTTAAAACCCTTCCAGTTATGAAGATTATTTGATTCTACCATATCTGGGCCTTGATAAGACGGTTTTGAAATTTCAGTCCATTTGACCAGTTTTGGCCCCACCCATCAGCCCATGGGGGTCAGTCAGGGCTGATATGTGCATACCAACAAACTGCTACCCAAAACTTATAACGCTAACCCAAATTGAACTACTTCCAATGGAAATTAAACAAATGTTGGTCGAAAATGTGATTTCCCTAAATAAACTGTAGTAAAGATTACCCCCTCCCCAGGGGGAAACGTGAGACCCCAGGGTCATGAAATTCACAATTTTGGTAGAGCACCTTAAGGCCGTTCTCCTTCTATGAAAAGTATTTAAATCCACCTTAACTTGGTCGTGAGAAGAAGGTTTTTGAAATTTCAGTCAATTCGACCATTTTTGGCTCCACTCATCGGCCCCAGAGGGTCAGTCAGGGCTGATATGTGCATACCATCAAACTGCTATCATATACTGATAATGCTAACCCAAATTGAATTACTTTCAATGGAAATAAAACAAATGTTGGTCCAAAATTAGATTTCCATAAAAATCTATAGTAAAGTTTACCCCCTCCCCATTTACCCTCTCCCCAGGGGGAAACATGAGACCACAGGGTCAAAAAAATCACAATTCTATCTATGAAGAGTATTTGATTCTACCATAGCTGGGTCTTTAGAAGAAGATTCTTTAAATTTCAGTCGATTCGATCCTTTTGGCTCGACCCATCAGACCCTGGGGATCAGTCAGGGATGCATACAATCAAACTGCTACCCAATACTGATAATGCTAACCCAAATTGAACTACTTCCAATGGAAAATAATCAAATGTTGGTCCAAAATGTGATTTCCCTATATAAACTGAAGTAAAGATTACTCCCTCCCCAGGGGGATTCACAATTTTAGTAAAGCACATTAAGACCCTTCCATCTATGGAGAGTATTTAATTCTAACATATCTGGATCTTGAGAAGAAGATTTTTGGAATTTAAGTCAATTTGACCCTTGTTGGCCCCGCTCTTCAGGCCCCTGGGGGCTTGGGATCATATAATTCACGAATTTGGTTGACCTTTTGCCATGGAAGGTTTCTGCAAAATTTTATTGAAATTGGTTCAGGGGGTTTGGAGAAGAAGTCAAAAATGTAATTTGTTTACGGACGCACGACGGACGACGGACGACGCCGGACAGAAGGCGATCGCAATAGGTCACTTGACACTTTGTCTCAGGTGACCTAATAAAATTAGTTGCAAAAAGAAATATTCATTTCAAAATCAATCACTACAAATATTTCATTTAACCTACCTTGCCAGCCCATTGTGATCCAGTTTAGGTTGGAAATACAGAAATTCTCCCAAGGATCCATACAACTAAATACACAACTTTCCTCCCTAGCGAAGTTTTATTTCGTAGCGTCTTGTAGGCATCCATAATTCACTGTATGTTTCCCTAAAAATATCAAAGTAATATCAAGTCAAACTTTACCGAAACAACCACATTAAGTCATAAATGTTAAACGTTAAATATCATGTTTTACATAATTGAATAGTAATATAATTATCAGAATACATATAATATTGTTTTATATTACTTACTGAAACAGCATTCTATTTCATTTTTTGTCTGCAAATGGAGCAAAACAAACAAGAAACAAAAACAAAAACACATACCCCTGTGGTACCCAGTGCCTATTAATTTTAGATTGTAATGATTATCTAGATATACTGGTTTAACTGTTATGGGTATGACATGATTTTCTTGGTTAACCAACGAATATAATTGCCAAAACTCGAATACATGTATTGTTTTACTGATAATAGCACTATTCGTATATGTATATATATGTATAAAGGTCACTCATAAGTTATAACGACAGAATGTTATAGAAAATATATATGTATGTATATATGCATGAAAGTATACATTTTGTAGCTATTTATATTTTGTATGTAACGTTTAAGTGTTGTGTATATATACGACACTATATATTCTATCTATCTAGTCATGAAAATCTTCTATCTTCACTGATGTGAATCGAAGTCAGAACTTACCTTACAAGTCCATTGTAATCCACTTCAGGTTGGAAATAAAAATATCCTAAGGATCCATATTTTATCTGCAAAAGGAGCAAAACCAACAAAAAACAAAACAAAAAAAACACACACTCCTGTGATACTCAGTACCTATTCATTGAAGTTTGTATTGATTCTTTTGGATGTGTGGCATGACATTAGATTTACGTGTATATCAGTTATTTGGATATGGTTTTCAATCTGTGTTGGTGCAACAAAAACAACGTCTGTCGAATGCATTTATAAATACTTTTATTGACACAAGTACGCTAAAAATTGATTGGATTGTTTTCACCAACAAGTCATTTTATATCCAAATCAATATATTGTTTCATTGCTGTCACTGAAACGCAAAATGGTCTTTTTAAGCATCGAGAGCACGATTTGTCTACTACCCATTCCGTGTCTTATTAAGATCAATTCAATATTGTGTTTCACACAATTAAATTGCAGTAAAAAGGATTTGTTAAATGCTTAAACTTTAATTCCAAAAGACTCTAGGATAGCGTGTGGTAGAGCGGTTATTATCACAATAGTATGGTTGAGTGGGCTTTTTCGTACTACCTAGATAGCAAACACTGAACTAGTGTCATCGATAACAAGATCAAATTAACGTATTGGTAATCTCTCGATGTTGATTTTCACCACCAAACATATGCTGCCATCTGTAAAATCAATTATAGACCATTTGGGCACGTGCCTGTTAATTTATCCAAAAATTTCACGCTATAAGCAACACAATGATGCAAATATTGTGTGTACAACAATGTAATGTAACAGCATTGAGATACTCTCCAACACTTTTCATCTAAAAGAAACATATCAAAAGTTATTAATCTTATGTACCTTTTAAATATCTATTTACAATATTTCACTATGTACTAACAGATATATCACAGTCCCGAACGAAAATGATAAATCGTGTTTCGGTAGGATGAGTGTGATTTTGAATAAACTATGATTAACATATCTGAACTTGTTTCTTGTCAAACAGGGTACTTAGCTGTATTGAGTTTGTAGATACATGCTATGTATTTAAACAAAATCGGTGAGTATTTAATTTGGTTCTTTCTTTTAGCGGCAGTTGAAAATAGCTATAGAAAAATCCTTTTCATGAATGAATCAGACACTTGCTGCTGTAAACTATTCTGGTTTATCTGATTCACAGGGTTTTAACTTTTGGTTATAAAAATGAATATCGTTTGTTTTGTTGGTTGATAAACTGTCACTGACTTGTTGTGAAATGCACCGCTGGTCAGATCCACAGTAGAAGGAATATGAAATGAAATGACAGTTTCGTCATAATGTTTCTCTTTAATGGTGTGGCGTTTTGATGCCCAGAGGTTTAAAGTGTTTCCTGTCCATTTCAAGTTCTTACATTTACCACTTGTGTATATTGTTTCATTTTCAAATTACGTCAAGGTTGTATTGATATAATATGAAACTTTAAAAGTGAAAAAGACTTATCAGAGTTCTTTTCTGTACTACAGTTGTAGCGAGAGAATGATCCCTTATTATTACTTTTCGATTACATATAGTAGATGTGTCCATCCCAAATCAACGGAAATATCAATTGTCAATGATGACACAATAATATAGAGCATTTATAGATCACACAAAATGATGGTTGTGCATATATATACGCGGTTCAAAAGACAGCCACGTAGTCTCAGAGGACTTCAAACAATGTTTGCTAGTAAAGTGATTGGAGGACACTTCCACATGAATGTGGTTCCAAACGAGGACAACGCCAGTCATCCAAGAGCCTTTAAACCAAGAAGAATAGTGACTAGTCCGGCTGGTAAACATGTGTCACCTAGATTTTGTACTTGTGCGCGCTAAAACGCGGCTTTCTGCTATGACGCGGCTTTCTGACAGTCTGGCGAAGTCATTTTTTAAATCGTTAGAAACATTGTCTCACTTGCATTACGAGTTTTCGGTGTAAGTTTGTAATGTTAGACTAAAGCTGAAAACTTAAATAATAAAATGAGTTGATGCTACTGTCAAATTATGTACAGATTTGGGAAACATATATATATATGTCTCATCGCATTCTGTGGAATGATATTCTTATAGCTGTGATTTGGTTACGATTGATAAAGAAGGAATTAAAACAAATGATTTTAAATTGATGTTTTTTCATTTTATTACGGCATGTGATAAATAAAATTTCACATGAGTTTCCATTTGATATGAGATTTATGAAACTCGTTGAGAATGTTTTAATTTTGCGAGGCTCTGAATTCATGTAAGACCATTGAAGAAGGAGGAAATAGTGTACGACGAATACAGTATAGTACTGGCATAATATTACAAACAAGGATAAGCTATGTAAATAAACTCTAGAGTACTAGTATACACAATAACCTAATACAAAATAAAAAGCATCTACATATATACTCATACACCTATACATATATACACTGCGAGAGACCGACAGACAGACATACATACATTGAGACAGGATACGTTGAGACAGACAGACATACATTGAGACAGGATACGTTGAGACAGACATACATTAATACAGCCTACTATCGAACTTGATATCATCCTTATCAAACGAGTACAGGTAGCACTGGTTATAGCTATGGATGGTATCCATCGATGAAGGTGATATGTAGTTGTTGACAAGGTCCTGGTGATAGATACTTTGTACAGTGTACATGTATGTATCATTCTGCAAGGAGAACCATGTAAGTTATTTACCTATTATTTCATAGAAAAATGTACATTTTATATATGATTATAATGATTGGTCAAGATTATTATAAATTTATTTTTTTATTCATTTATTCTTAATTTATTATTTTACCTTTCATAAGTGATTTTGGTATGAAATACGACGCTTATTTACAGAGACATCAAAACGTCAAGACCGTTTAAAATGGAACCTCGAAATAATTAAACCTTAAATAGATACCGATAAATACTAATTAGTTAAATGTCGCTTACCTGTTATCAGGTTAATAAAGTCATATCACTGACTTCATTTCATACAGTCTAGCAAACAGGGTGCTCCAACAAATCAAGGTATACACACGTGTCTGGTACAATCCGAACTCTCCTATCTTTGTCAAAATGTTGTCCATTTTGATTTTTATTAACTCGTTATAGCGTTGAGAACAGTATCATATGTAACACCACAGACACTTACAGTACTAAAAATGTTTAACACACCTTTATAAAACTACACAGGAAACAATGATTGGCCTTTTAAATATCCAATATAATCAAAATCAAGACAATGCTTCTTTTAAACTTTTTACACAGTTACAATGATTCATGTCGTCAATGCTCCATTATCGACAAACAAATAGCCACTGTAAGCGAGGTCGATGTTAGACCTTATATATGTGCATTTCTCGTGTTACGGTGAATTTAACATGTTCAAATGCATGTAAAATTGGTAATATATAGGCATATGATATAGTTTTCATACGTCAATAATATGTTTGTACATATAAATTTAAAATGTAGCCTGCAGTGTCAGGCACGAGAAATGGAAAATACAAGTAACTTCTTTCAGCAGTACAATCTATTATCCACGATTACACACAGAAAGATTTAAAGTTACCCTACAATCAACCTTTGCTCTCTTTTGTTATCAGTAGGATAAATCTGGCATTTGTTGTGGGTTTTTTTTAATCTTTTATAGTAAAGTTATTAATTCTCCGTTGATACAACACTTACGGTGTGAAACGTGTCAAAGATATAAATAAAAAAGGTATCAAGTTTGATTTTCTTACGTGCCATTAGAATTGTATAAGAACAGGAGAAACAACTTAAACTGTGGAATAGGCAAGACAATGGACAGTTCGAGGCATACTTTAACATTATAAATTGATTTAGTATGACGTGGCAAAGCTTCGAAACATGAAATAAGGCAGTGAGCTGTATTTTACCCAATAAAATCTCAAACGTTTCCTCGTTTCCTCATATTTGAAACTATTTCTGTTTATACGTCAGGAGCTAGCTTATCTATGAGCAGTAATGAAAACATAACTCACAAATGACTTATGGATACTTAATATGAATACATACTTTCAAAGCAGTTTACTGTCTTCCATTGTTTCCGGTAATGTTTTGTTCAACGTTTCTGGTAAGGTCAAGGATGATAACCCAGCAATGATAGAAAACACTCCAAAAATCCCAAAGGAAATACTTCCCCGAACATGCCACCTATCAAGGCTGCCTGTAACATTCTAAGAAATGATATGCATAAAGTAAACTAGGAACACATAAAAACAAACATTTGAAAGGAAAAGAATCGATATGAGAGAACAACAGACAGAGGAGACAACTAAATAACAAGAAATACAGCACGAATCGTTTATAAATAAACGGACCTGAATTCCTATAATCCGGTAAAAAAAAAACACGCTTGATATGCTCCACATTTGGTACCCTTCCTTGTGTGTCTCGTCATAATCTGAGAAGTATGTTCAATGTGTAGAATCGTGGTCAGAAACGAGGCTTTATAGAAGTTCTGAGTCTAAAGTATACTGTATGCGGCTGACGTACCAAACTTACCAATCATGGCAAGTGTTGTGATAATGGTCTGGTTCTCTAAATGAAATATTAAACAATTATGGAATTCAGGTGCGGTCGATCCCTGGTTTACGAACCTGGTCTGAACAATATTCAATGGTTTTTGTTTTTTCAGTGACAGTTTGGTGTAGCGAGACACAGTAACAAAACTTCTATCCCTATACAAGTAAGAACTACAAAACATCAATCACTATAAAGGTCACAATTACAAATATCACGATTACAAAACATCTATCACTATAAAGGTCACAATTACAAACATCACGATTACAAAACATCAATCACTATAAAGGTCACAATTACAAATATCACGATTACAAAACATCTATCACTATTAAGGTCACAATTACAAACATCACGATTACAAAACATCTATCATTATAAAGGTCACGATTACAAAACATCTATCACTATAAAGGTCAAATTTACAAATATCAATCACTATAAGGGCAAGATTCCGAAACATCCATCATTAATGAGGTCATAGTTAAAAAAAATAACTATATACGTCACAATCACAAAAAAATCTATTACATTACTAGGTCACAATTACTAAACATACATCATTATTACGGTTTCACTTGCAAAATATTCATCACTATATGGGTCAAAATAAAAAAAACAGCCATTGCTATATAGGTCACATTTTTTTAAGTCTTGAAAACAGAACACAGAAAATAAGTATAAAGATTGACTGCCGTTGAATCAATCAGTTATGTATTACAATAATACGAAGGAAACAGTTATGAACTGCGATAGTACTAAGGAAACAGTAATGTACTGCAATAGTACAAAGGAAACAGTTNTCATACGTCAATAATATGTTTGTACATATAAATTTAAAATGTAGCCTGCAGTGTCAGGCACGAGAAATGGAAAATACAAGTAACTTCTTTCAGCAGTACAATCTATTATCCACGATTACACACAGAAAGATTTAAAGTTACCCTACAATCAACCTTTGCTCTCTTTTGTTATCAGTAGGATAAATCTGGCATTTGGGTTTTTTTTAATCTTTTATAGTAAAGTTTTTAATTCTCCGTTGATACAACACTTACGGTGTGAAACGTGTCAAAGATATAAATAAAAAAGGTATCAAGTTTGATTTTCTTACGTGCCATTAGAATTGTATAAGAACAGGAGAAACAACTTAAACTGTGGAATAGGCAAGACAATGGACAGTTCGAGGCATACTTTAACATTATAAATTGATTTAGTATGACGTGGCAAAGCTTCGAAATATGAAATAAGGCAGTGAGCTGTATTTTACCCAATAAAATCTCAAACGTATGTTTCACGTGCAATAACCTCATATTTAAAACTATTTCTGTTTATACGTCAGGAGTTAGCTTATCTATGAGCAGTAATGAAAACATAACTCACAAATGACTTATGGATACTTAATATGAATACATACTTTCAAAGCAGTTTACTGTCTTCCATTGTTTCCGGTAATGTTTTGTTCAACGTTTCTGGTAAGGTCAAGGATGATAACCCAGCAATGATAGAAAACACTCCAAATAATCCCAANATACAAAGGAAACAGTTATGTACCGTAATGGTACAAAGGAAAAAGTTATGTACGGCAATGGTACAAAGGAAACAGTTATGTACTGCGATAGTACAAAGTAAACAGTTATGTACTGCGATAGTACAAAGGAAACAGTTATGTACTTTAATGGTACAAAGGAAACAGTTATGTACTGTGATAGTAAAAAGGAAATAGTTATGTACGGCAATAGAACAAAGGCATAGTACAAAGGAAACACTTATGTACGGCAATAGTACAAAGGAAACAGTTATGTACTGCAATAGTACAAAGGAAACAGTAATAAACTGCAATGGTACAAAGGAAACAGTTATGTACTGCGATAGTACAAAGGAAACAGTTATGTACGGCAATAGTACAAAGGAAACAGTTATGTACTGCAATGGTACAAAGGAAACAGTTATGTACTGCGATAGTACAAAGTAAACAGTTATGTACTGCGATAGTACAAAGGAAACAGTTATGTACGGCAATAGTACAAAGGCATAGTACAAAGGAAACAGTTATGTACTGCAATAGTACTAAGGCATAGTACAAAGGAAACAGTTATGTACTGCAATAGAACAAAAGAAACAGTAATGTACTGCAATAGTACAAAGGAAACAATAATGTACTGCAATAGTACAAAGGAAACAGTAATGAACTGCAATAGTACAAAGGAAACAGCTATGTACTGCAATGGTACAAAGGAAACAGTAATGTACTGCAATAGAAGAAAGGAAACAGTTATGAACTGCAATAGAACAAAAGAAACAGTAATGTACTGCAATAGTACAAAAGAAACAGTAATGTACTGCAATAGTACAAAAGAAACAGTAATGTACTGCAATAGTACAAAGGAAACAATAATGTACTGCAATAGTACAAAGGAAACAGTTATGTACTGCGATAATACAAAAGAAACAGTTATGTACTTTAATGGTACAAAGGAAACAGTTATGTACTGTGATAGTAAAAAGGAAATAGTTATGTACGGCAATAGAACAAAGGCATAGTACAAAGGAAACAGTAATGTACTGCAATAGTACCAAGGAAACAGCTATGAACGGCAATAGTACAAAGGCATAGTACAAAGGAAACAGTTATGTACTGCAATAGTACAAAGGAAACATTAATGTATTGCAATTCAATAGTACAAATGAAACAGTTATGTACTGTAATAGCACAAAGGAAACAGTAATGTACTGCAATAGTACCAAGGAAACAGCTATGAACGACAATAGTACAAAGGCATAGTACAAAGGAAACAGTTATGTACTGCAATGGTACAAAGGAAACAGTTATGTACTGCGATAGTACAAAGTAAACAGTTATGTACTGCGATAGTACAAAGGAAACAGTTATGAACTGCAATAGAACAAAACAAACGGGAATGTACTGCAATAGAACAAAGGAAACAGTAATGTACTGCAATAGAACAAAAGAAACAGTAATGTACTGCAATAGTACAAAGGAAACAGTAATGTACTACAATAGTACAAAGGAAACAGTAATGTACTGCAATAGAACAAAAGAAACAGTAATGTACTGCAATAGAACAAAAGAAACAGTAATGTACTGCAATAGTACAAAGGAAACAGTAATGTACTGCAATAGTACAAAGGAAACAGTAATATACTGCAATAGTACAAAGGAAACAGCTATGAACGGCAATAGTACGAAGGCATAGTACAAAGGAAACAGTTATGAACTGCAATAGAACAAAAGTAACAGTAATGTACTGCAATAGTACAAAGGAAACAGTAATGTACTGCAATAGTACAAAGGAAACAGTAATGTACTGCAATAGTACCAAGGAAACAGCTATGAACGACAATAGTACAAAGGCATAGTACAAAGGAAACTGTTATGTACTGCAATAGAACAAAAGAAACAGTAATGTACTGCAATAGAACAAAGGAAACAGTAATGTACTGCAATAGAACAAAAGAAACAGTAATGTACTGCAATAGTACAAAGGAAACAGTAATGTACTGCAATAGTACAAAGGAAACAGCTATGAACGGCAATAGTACAAAGGCATAGTACAAAGGAAACAGTTATGTTTTGCAATAGAACAAAGGAAACAGTAATGTACTGCAATAGAACAAAGGAAACAGT